CTACAGCTTTTGCTGAGGGGGGAAAAAAAAAAAAAAAGTAACCCATTACCAAGGTATTTTCTGTATTTTTAGTTCCACTTAGGTGCCATCACTTAAAGAATTTTCCATTTATTTACAATGTACAGTTTATATTTTTGCCATGCACGTAAGCCAAAGGTTATTCTGCTCAGCAAATGGCGGAGCCATAAGTGATGTACTGTGTAAACGGTCAAGAAATGCTGAAAAACTGACATTTACATTATGAAAGGGCATATTGCTAAACAGAGTTCTTTTCATATTGATAGAACAGACATTCAGTGTATATATATATATATATATATATAAATAAATGTATTATTATTACTACTACTACCACCACTACTACTACTACACACACATACAAAAACACAAAGACATTGCACCTAAAAAAAAAAAATGATGGAACTATAGATTTTTTGGAGCTTATTTTTATTTATTTTTTCAATAAAGGCTTTTTAAAAGTTGCCTGGTTCTAAACTGGCCCCTACTGCCAGTAACAAAAACACTTTCCCTACATCTCTGAGCTTTCATACAATTATAGAACTCATCAGTGAAAATCTTGCAGCCTACTCTACCTTGTTTCAATGAAACTTTAGTACCTGGCCTCAATTGTAAATCTTTCTGAAAAGTGATATATAATGTAATAGAAAACTAGGGGTCACCAAGTTTTCCTGCAACTATGTAAAAGCACAGAGCTGCTGGCTGCCCTTTCTGTGGCTGTTGAAGGTGTACACATGAAACAGTCATTCAGTTTCTATGATGTTATGGTCATAGGTTTTGTTTTTACTTCTAAAAGCTACCACTAAAAAGTGTTTCTGCATAGTATTTAACAAAAGAACCATTACTACTTATGAAATGAAGCATTACAATATTTTAAGACAGTGGGGCCAGATAATTATTTGATAGAGCAGCGTAGCGACCATCATCGGTAACACGTAAAGCACTTTTACCTTGCAGTATTACAGTCCTGCCGGGGCAGTAACTGCTGGGCGTTAGTAGGTTCTGCACATTTGTCCTGCTGTTTAAACTAGTATACACACATTCACAAAACACACTAGTAGGTTGTTATTTGGCTTCTTCCTTTCGGCCTTGTTGCCCTTTTAGATTACAGACACTCCTCACTTAACGACCGACTTCCGTTCCTACGATTAGGTCATTAATACCAGAGAAAATGAGCTCTAATATACAGTATATGACTTAGGATTACATACTGTAAAAATATATATACACATACACACACACATATATACACACACACAGGGCCGGTGCAACCACTAGGCAGCCGCCAAGGCGCAGCCATGACCAATCATCCCCCCATGGCGCCCCCCATCTATTTCAAATTGCAAAACCCAATAGCAGGCTGGCTATTGCCCCTGCCCACTGAGCAGAGGAGCGGAACTCAGAGACTACTTTCTCTCTCAGGTCCACTCCTCTGCTCAGTGGATGGGGTTTCAATAGCCAGTCTGCTATTGGATATTTCAAATTAAAACAGCCAAGAGCAGTCTGGCTATTGCTCCCAGCTGCTTACATGCCTGCGGAAGCTGCCGGCAGCAGAATGGGGCAGCACGGGGGGAGGGGAATTGGGGGTTGCGCCGGTCTTGCCTAGGGCACATAATAGTCAAGCACCAGCCCGGTGTGTGATATATATATATATATATATATACACACACACACACACTGTAAATACTAATGTACAAGACAGTAGTGAATACTGACCAACTACGGGAGCAAGACTGAGAAGGTGTGATGCAAGATGAGCTTCACCCAAGTTCTCATACAGTGTACAATACTGGCTAGCCGGAGAGCTAGTCCTACGTTCGACTGGCCATTAACCAGGTAAGTTGTTACATGAAGTAGCTGTACAGAAAAGGACATCGTACTTATGGACTCAAAATAATTCTTCTCCATAGCATCTACTGTACAATACATCTATGTAGCAGCTGCATGCTAAGAGTACAATGCCATTTTCGGGGGATGTAGCTATTTTTATATGCAGACACTGCTCTGCTTGATGAAATATCCTATGTCTGTGTGTCTGTATAAGCTCCTCCCCCTACCTTATTATCTAACATACAAGACCGTCAGAGCTGGTGTTTACTAAATTGCTACAGATGTCAGATGCATTAGATCCCAATTCTGTAAAAAAAAAAGCACTGGTAGTTTTTTTGGGCAGAGAGCAATTCTATGCGCCTCCCATAGTAATTCTAAAAACTCAAACCCTTGCTTGCAATTGTATCTTACTAGTGCTTGAATCTACAACTTTCTTCAGAAGTCAGATGTGAAACTTCAGCCACAATGTAGGAGTTGAAAATAAAGTAACAAATATTTATCGGATCACAAGCAACTATTAGGCTGCGTTCACACCTGACCGTTTTGTAGGGCGTTCTACGCACGACGAACGCTCTACAAAACGGTCAAAAATATAAATTGCATTGTAGTCAATGCCCTCGTTCCCACCTCGCCGTATTTCTGCCCGTCCCTTACGCCCTACAAAACGGCCCACGCCTGAAAAGGTCCCGGGACTACTTTGGGCCGTTTTGTAGGGCGTTTTCCATTTGGATACTGCCAAGTAGCCTTTGGAATCGCGCAACTTTTTTACCGCAAATCGCGGTAAAAAAACCGTGTGACAGACGCGCATATTACAATACGCCTAGGTGTGAATGGGGCCTTAGGGCTTGTTCACACCAAATGCAGACAGGATCTGCATGAGTTTCTGCACACGCAGTGCAGTGTGTAATACCGCGTTTTTGATGCGTTCCGAGCTGTTTTTGGTAAGAATATATATATATATTTGTTTAGTTTAAAATGGGCTTTCAATGCGTTCCAGGGCGTTTGCATGCATTTGCATGAGTCCCAGAGCAGGTAAAATAGGGCTTGCTGCATTTTTTTACATGCTCTGGAACTGAACGCTGCGGTGTGAACTAGAGCCCAAAATACCATTGGAATACATTGGACGCAGTTTTGATCCGGTCTGTAACTGCTCTGCTCAAGGAACGCGCTTGGCGTGAACAAGGCCTCAACCCTGATGCCTGGTTGATTTCCATTTATTTTTTACACAATGTGTCATGTTGTAATCTGAAAGAAGTCTAAGAAGGTGTAGAATTTTTGTCTGAAAGAATTGGGTTAATAAAAGATTTCAACAAGTTTTTGTATATCCGAATCCCTCAAAGTATGTTTTTTCCCCCTACAGATTGTGTCACTTCTAGGAATCAGACAGATTTAAAATGTAGCAGCTTTGAAGAGTCGTATAAAATGGTTAAAAATGACAAATTTGAAACTTCAGTAGAGTTGAAAATAAAGTAACAAATATTTATCGGATCACAAGCAACTATTAGGCTGCGTTCACACCTGACCGTTTTGTAGGGCGTTCTACGCACGACGAACGCTCTACAAAACGGTCAAAAATATAAATTGCATTGTAGTCAATGCCCTCGTTCCCACCTCGCCGTATTTCTGCCCGTCCCTTACGCCCTACAAAACGGCCCACGCCTGAAAAGGTCCCGGGACTACTTTGGGCCGTTTTGTAGGGCGTTTTCCATTTGGATACTGCCAAGTAGCCTTTGGAATCGCGCAACTTTTTTACCGCAAATCGCGGTAAAAAAACCGTGTGACAGACGCGCATATTACAATACGCCTAGGTGTGAATGGGGCCTTAGGGCTTGTTCACACCAAATGCAGACAGGATCTGCATGAGTTTCTGCACACGCAGTGCAGTGTGTAATACCGCGTTTTTGATGCGTTCCGAGCTGTTTTTGGTAAGAATATATATATATATTTGTTTAGTTTAAAATGGGCTTTCAATGCGTTCCAGGGCGTTTGCATGCATTTGCATGAGTCCCAGAGCAGGTAAAATAGGGCTTGCTGCATTTTTTTACATGCTCTGGAACTGAACGCTGCGGTGTGAACTAGAGCCCAAAATACCATTGGAATACATTGGACGCAGTTTTGATCCGGTCTGTAACTGCTCTGCTCAAGGAACGCGCTTGGCGTGAACAAGGCCTCAACCCTGATGCCTGGTTGATTTCCATTTATTTTTTACACAATGTGTCATGTTGTAATCTGAAAGAAGTCTAAGAAGGTGTAGAATTTTTGTCTGAAAGAATTGGGTTAATAAAAGATTTCAACAAGTTTTTGTATATCCGAATCCCTCAAAGTATGTTTTTTCCCCCTACAGATTGTGTCACTTCTAGGAATCAGACAGATTTAAAATGTAGCAGCTTTGAAGAGTCGTATAAAATGGTTAAAAATGACAAATTTGAAACTTCAGTTGAAGCGTTCCCATTTTACACTTCATGCTTTATTTCTTGTTGGCTCTGGCTATATTTACAATGGATTCTCACAACTCTGCTGCCATTGTTTGCAAAACTGATTTTAAACATGGTGATTTATATTACCTGTAATTTTTTGGAGAGAATACAAATTCTTGTGTACATTTTCAAGGATATGGAAGAAAAAGAGAAAACACACGAGGTACAGGGCATACAAAAGGTAAGCTCAAACATTTTGTGACATTTTATTACAGGCATCTTAAAAGCGAGGTGAAAAAAAAATTGGTCTCAACAAAATCTATTTCTCCGCCTTCCATTCTAAGCACGCATTAACCATATTGCAGAGTGCTTCCAAACAGCCTTAAATACAAGAAAGAAAAAAAAAATCTTGTCATAAAGGGATGACTTCATGACCTGACACCGTGCAGCTGTATGAGCCGCTTCTTCCATTTAGTGTCTACAGTAACGGCACAGGCTGCGCTTCAGCCATTCTAGAACATTCTCGTTTACAATCTCCGAGCTTTCCGTGGACGGCAGCCATTGTGTGGGATGGGTGTATTATCAGTAAGGGATATCACTTCCAGTCCTCCCATTGTTAACCCTTTGATGGCATGCTGCATTGAAGGAAAAAAAAAACACCACACATAATTAGATATCACTTCATAATTATCCGATAACAAGTTATCACGCTAGTTCGTTATCTGTCTGCGTTCTTAGGAGGCTCGGTTATTTAGAGGCATGATCAATGGTCTGGGGGAGATTTTTGCTTTTCCACTAAACCTGGTAAAACAATATAGGATTTTTACCGATGTTTCCTTTTGATTAAACCTTCTAAAATAAATAAATCCGTACTATTTACATCCTACAGATTATATTAAACTATGTACATAATGGATTGTAGGTCAAATCTCAATAATTTGGAGAGTAACAGGGACACTTGAGTTCACGTCAGTCTCTATTCACTGCAAATTCCATTCCTATAACAAGGTTGTTAAGCAAATTGGTCGCTAAGCGAGGAAAAAGGAAATAAGCTCTAACATACAGTACATGACTTAGGATTGCATGCTGTAAATACTAATGTACAGTACAGTCGTGAATACTGAGACAGTGTGACACAAGATGAGCTTGACCCAAGTTCTCCTACAGTGTACAATAACGACTGGTCGTAAGTTCGGTCCGTCATTACCCAGGTAGGTTGTTAAGTTCACGTCAGTCTATATTTACTTCAAAATGTATTGTTAGGTGTAAGAGATCCTGGCTTAGGGCACAATGGACCCCATTCACACCAAAGTGGTTTGCTTTAAGTCTCCTGAATCCTATTATTTTTATTGGTGCCATTCACAACCAAGTTTTGTGTCGCTTGTAGTTTGAAGTAGTAGATGGCTTCACAGACTTCAATGGGAGCACCTGAAAACGTGTGCAACATGTGTTTTTTTACACCTAACATGCATCCTCCTTTAAGGGGCTTCTCAGGACACAACCGATGACGGGCCCAGATCTGGTTATTTTTTAACTCACATTTTATTGATGGTAAACACTGACCAACACCATCCTTCAGCTATATGATATTCCATAAAATAGGATTCATCCAGAGACAGAACTATTATTTAACTCTTCTATCTACTATCTAGATTACAACTATAATTTAGAATGCATCTCTAGCCAAATACTAGAAACCTTGTCTTTTTTGTTTTTGCTGTCTGTGTCCTGTTGAGGAGATTTCTTTACACTTCTCTTCCCAAAGACAGAACAGAAAGGGAGAAAAATCTTCTTGTAGATAGTGGTTAGCAGAACAGGCTTCGCCATTGGAAAATGTCCCCTCTACTATTGTTTTTCTGGTTACTAGAGGGCAAATATTATTATACAGGATACACTTTAAATATAGTATACTGTACTTACAGCATAGATTAGATAACAAATAACATATAAGCATTTAGAAAAAGGTAAAATGCAGACACCATCTTCCGAAGAGTATAATAATGCTTCATTCAGACGGGCCCCAGCTTTTGTTTTATTTAAAACGCAAGAGAAATTGATCCTGGAACTATAAACAAAGGCTATACTTCCCAGATTTTTCTCCTGCACTTAAATGTACTTGCGTTGTTCAGATTAACGAATCTCCCCCTGAAACCACGGATTTCTCTTTTCTCCCTAAACCCAGTTAAACTGAATGCACCCAAATGCAAGTGTAAATTATACCCTGTAAAATCATTACATGCATTTCTATTTGTTCCAAAATGTCCAACACACCTGAATGATGCTTGAGCAATGCTTAGCTAGGAAGAAAAACCTTTCAGTCATCACACACACAAAATTGGCCGTTAAACTAAGGTCCTCATGTATAAAGATGTCTAAAGGAAGAACAGTTCCTCTTGCACATGACAAGTGGAGGCTTATTTCCTTTCACTGCAATGAAAACCAAACAGCGAGAAGCTAACACGCCACTATGGACAATAAAAGGTTCTTCCTGTAGATAATGTATTTGAAGTATAAGTTCAGAGTGCACAAACGGTTTAAAAAGTCCATACTTACTACTCTTCCAGGTCCCATGCCTTTCACTACAACTCTCACAAAAGAAACACCTTTATTCACAGATTTCTGCAAAGAAAAAGAAAAAGAAAAAAAAAAAAAAAAAAGCAGGGTCATAAGCACGTCATGGAAAGATCAACAATCAAATGAGACACAGGTGCTTGAACTAAATTAACGAGTGCGGAATCTCAGCACGTGCGCTTTCACATTGTCACAACTTGCCGTGCATTCCATCTACAGGAATACACAACACTCCGCACACACCGGTAAAAAGGCAGAAGATGGCCAAGCATTGCGAGGAAACATCCATACCGATCTAGGCAGCAATAAACAATTATACAACAAATACTGCGTGGCAAGCAGGGAGAAAATTGGGAAGGGAAAATCATGGCTTACGAATTAAACCACAGGGGTAGCAGCGTGAACAAATGGAACAGCCAGCTACTAATCTATAAGCTTAAAATGCCTTTTAACGGAACACCTACTGACCATCAAGTTGAAAGATGCATTGTTTTTAAATGGCTTAGGGGGGCCTCGAAGAGGGCCGTATGCTTTAAATATAGATGCACTTTTTTGTCTGTACACTTTGTATTACTTGCAGGTTATAAACCTCATCACGTGTGCCCTCTCCATTAGAATAAACTGTCTAGGGTTTTCCTGTAATGCAATGCAGATTTCTCTGAAGAAGTGAATGGCGGTCAGACTTGGACGGCGTGTAGAAACACGAACACCTGCTGGAGCCCAGACAACTTTGTAGACAGACTAGATGTCAGCTCCCGTGGAGATAAAAGACTACGGAAGGTATTAGAAAGCAGAACTGTCAGCCGATTCAAATTTCAACACTTTCTAAAAGCAGAAACACTATGGAAATGGACAAGCCATTTTCTAGAGTGTGTAGAAGCTCTGAAATAGCCCAGTCATTTCCATTGTGACAAGGTATTAAACAGCTTCTTTCAGTGCAGCCCTATGTCTCATCGTATTTCCAGTGCTAGATTCACAGGCATGTCAGACAACAATATAGAGCAGCACGCTTACTGGTCAAAACTCAATACCGCCCAATCCGACGCACATTTCTTTCTTCCTTCCATTGTTCCTGTAATCCTGTCCTTGCAATTATAACAGATCCTGGTTTTAAATATAGCTGGGCTCATTTTAAATGTGGGGACCATAAATCTGCCCCTAGCAAGAAGCTCTCATTCTACCAATGCAGGTGCAAAATAGCCACTAAAGACTGATTGGATCCTATAGGTAACAATCTTTTTCTTTTTTTAATCAGTCGGTCTACCTTTAAGGAAGAGTACGTTTATATATATATACACACACACACACACACACACACACACACACATATATATAGACATACATACACATACGCTTTTTTTTTTACACAGCTGTACATGAAGAAAAAAATTTCCCCTTTTGTGGCTCTTAAAGGGACGACAGAGACACAGAAAGGAGGCCATCGTTCACTAAATAATGAAGAATGGACCTGATGTAAATCTCTGCACTCTTCTAAAGTGCATATTTTCTCTCTAGGGACATCTGCTCCTCTAAACAAAAGTAAATCAGTCAGGGAATAAATGGCAATATGTAAACAATGAGAGGCTGGTTCAGTGGGACGAGATGTCATGGTAAGGGCTAGTGGATGCGGGCTGTATGTGGAATGCAGTGTCTGAACTGGATCTAACTTTGCATGTTTACACTAAACCTACACTGACCGAACCCTTAAATGGGTGTCACAGAAGTGAAAGGAACATTTCTCCAAGATGACAGTTTGAAATGCACTGACTAATGGTATAATAAAGGAGGCCCTGACCTCAGGATTGGGATCCTCGCACACTTTAACAAATACTCTGATAGCAGAAAGCAACAACTCAATAAAAAGTGTGGTTCACCAAATACTAAAATGGCTTTATCCATCACAAGGTCCTGGCCTGTTTATGGCCCTCAAGAACTCAGATATATTGTTATCGCCAATTATGAGATGCTTCCCTGAAGGAGTTTGTTTTTATGATAGGAAAAGCTCATGATTAGGGGTTGTCTAATAAGGTAAAGGATGCTGAATGGAAAATTGTCACTTTGTAGCTCCAGGAATGATCACATTAGCACACTGCAACATGGATAACATTATTCTATATTTATCATAGTACTCATTGGTTCAGAAAAACCCTGCCCCTGGTATTGCATCTGATTTTACTTAACGTTTTTCAGGGGGGACCCTACAGTGACCGTCACAGCTGACCACTGTCTGCATCACCTTAAAGTTCACATAAGTAACAGTAAAAAGAGACCAATTAGTTCAAGTCTTTCTCATTTGTTTTTACTTGTCTTCCCAAGTATAGACCAATCCCAAACATGTTTAAATTAATTTACTCTTAATTGACTCACTAGCTCTGCTGGAAGGTTCTAAGGTTAGTGTTGGACATTCCTCCTGCTAGTTTGAGGTCAAGTCCCCGTGTTCTTGAACTTAACTTCATACTAAATATTCTGCCTCCTGAGCTTTATCCACACCCTTAATACAAAGAAAGGTTTCAGTCAAAGTCCACCCTTTCCCTACTTTCCTCAAGGCTTTACACTAGGGATGCACCAATACCGATATCTGTGCCGATACTGGGCATTTTTACGAGTACCAAGTGCTAATACCGGCGGTTTACATTTCTAAACACAAGAGGCTGCCATAAGGTCCCGCACTTGCTGGGGACCTTGCAGCACCTGTTTACAGTGCCAGCCAGCCACACTTCTCCTCCTTCCTGCCACCCACCCAGCACTGTGGAGTCCCGCCCACGCATCCCTGGTGAGACCCTGCACTTGCTCGCACAGTCCTGGAGAGAACCCACAGGCAGCCCTGGTGAAACCCTGCACGCAGCCCCCGGCTGACCCGCACCTGGGCGCAGAAAGCCCTGGAAAGACCCTGCATGTAGATTATGTAGCTCCATATTATTCTGCACTGCTGTATAATGTATTGCGGGGATTTGTAGTCCTCTATAGCTGGTGGTATTCTGCATTGCTATAAGATGTATTGCTGAAATGTGTAGTTCTTTTACAGCTTGGAGTCAGTGGCAGAACTACCTGGATCGCAGCTGTGTCCGGGCCCTGGCGCTCCACCAATGTCCTAAAATCATTAGTCTGTATTGTTTTAGAAAAAATGCCATAGGACACTAAAAAAAATAATATTGGTATCAGTGAGTACTTGAAGAAAAGTAGCGGTACTCGTGGTATCGGTGCATCCTTACTTTACACATTATGTTCCTGTAGTCTTCCTGTCAGCTTTTATTCCCTACAGTAAGTGAGGGCTCCAGAACTGGACACAGTATTCTAAAACAAGGTGCAACTTAAGCTCTATACCAGGGGTAGACCCTTCAGCTGTGTTGAAACGCACAAGAAAGCACACTCGCATGAGGTGGAAACAGGCGTATTACCAGCTTTCCTGGTTATCCAAGTTTGTTACAATTGGTCAAAAGGTGCTTAAAAGCAATGACCACTTGGGTAGAGTTCCACAGTGGACAGAGCTGTCGGAGCATAAAGTTAGATAAAATGTGCATGTATTCAAATACACAAACAGAAATGGCATCTGCATGAAATTTATATTTATCCTTGCATTTTTGCAGAACTCCTCTGTCAAATCTACTTTCCTCCCGCAATGTGAAAACCATGCTGGTAGGTTAATAACACCTGACGAGAGACTCTACCCAAAGGGGCAATGACTAATGAGAACGGTTACATGTGTTCTGTACAATGCTGTGCAAAAAAACCCAGCAAATAATACAACTGTATAAACAAACTAAACCACTCCATCAGTAGTATAAATTCACTATTTCCTTTCTTTTGAACTTGCCACAATTCCTTGGCGGATTCTTAGAGTCAAAGTTTATTTAGAAATTATGCTCTATGCACAATATTATAAATCAGGAGTGAGATGTAAGACTAGTGTGGGCAAATTCAGCTGCTACATGTCTAAACCTATAAACACAGAACACAAAAGCAGATAAAGACCCAGGTCCAGAACATGAGGACAAATAAAGCAAATGGGGAGAAAGGTAAAATAAACTTACTTTTAATATATTTTAGAATATATTTTAGAATTACAAGTTAATGCTTGGATAGGCAGCATATGGGAATACAAATTATAAATAAAAAAAAATATATATATATACATAAAAAATTACATTTTAATTATAGCAGTGATCTGTACTATAAGCAATATGTGACAGCAGATTTCCATTACTGGAGTTACATTAGTGAATTATGTCTATTCGGCCCAAGCCCTAAAAAATGAAATTACATGTATGTGCAATACAAAAAACAAATATTTTGCCAGTGTCACCGACCTTCTCTGGATTACCTAGAATCTCTTTTTTTTTTTATACGATTGCTGATTAATGCTGCTGGAAAAGGCCATATCAAGGGTAGCATAAAATAATAATTTCAGTAACAGTGAACACAGAGGTCACAAAGGCCTTTTATGTAACGGTGAACAGAAAACTCTGATGGGTTTATCATTTCACAGGCTTGTCCTAATTAGTTTTATTTTGTGAAGTGAAACATTGTGACCTGCCGATGCTGCTAATCATGCTGGGAAATCTCTGTAGGAAAGAAGAAAACAGACTACACAGTGCCTGGACCACGCTACTGACAACACTGGGTTGGTGCTGCCACCAAGTGGAAGCTGCCGGTGTAATCATTCCAATTTTCTAACATTATTAGTGAGAAATAACCCAAACTGGCGGTAACTGGCCTGGAGTGAATGCAACAAGTAATGGCTCTTCTTAAGCAAAACATTAGAGGAAAAAAAAAAGAAGGGAGCAGCTTTCTGATTAGAGGGAAATTTTACAAAAAGATCCTATTGAAGTGTATGTCGATCTGCGTGAACTTCACCCACAGCTAGATCCTGTTGACCCTCCTATTTCTCCATGAGTGTTGAGAGATTACCAAGTGCGTTTTTTTTTTCTCTCTATTAAAGCAAACATTAAAGCAGATCTTGCATGAAAATGCATGGTTCATTTCTCCCTTGCAGTTATTAGACTCCATAAAAACACACAACACTATTATCACACAGCCACTGGTACTTGCATTACTGTATGCCCATTCATTTTGCTTCCACGGTGATCTCATTAATTCCATCACCTGATTTACTCCTTTGCTGTGGCTTCATTCACTAACAAGGTCCCTGTGGAGTCACCACAACGTGCACAATCCGCCACCTGGGGCTACAGATCAACATCAAGCCTCTCTCTGCACACGCAACACAGTAACTCTCCTGCAGATGGGGACTTGTGACCCGCTTAACTCTTCACTCACATGACTTTGATTGACACAAGGGTAGAATGATCAGTAGAAAACCTGTGATTCATTGCATATGGGCATTAGCAATGTATGCAAGGAATCATGTAGTGCCAGTGGCAGGCGTGAATAAGAAAAGCTGTGCACACTCCCTGTATGGAAGTTACAGGGAGTGTGCACAGAGCACTGCACCCAGAAACATAAAATCATAGGTTTAAAGATGAGACATTAAAAAAATAGAGATTTTAAAGAGAGAGATTTGCTTTCATTATGAGGGTTTAGTACTACTTTATATAACAAAATGCATTACCTTGGTGCGGGTGGCATTACTGGGCCTTCTTGAGGGATCCTGGGAAAACTTACAATCGCAATCTCTGTATGAATGCATTCCTGCACAATACTTATTTGGGATACTACGCTTTCCCAGGACCCTGGGAGAACGTCACCGGTGCCCACAGAAAGATGCCAGAAGCCAGGTTGTAGGTGAGGTTATTTATCTTAGTAGTGTTCACCGAGTGTTTATCAATCAGGATGGGTGTGGGTGGGCAACATAAGACCTTGCAGTTTAATTGTTTAAAGAATAATTGCACTTTAAAACAAAGTGCACTTATCCTTTTGGACCCTTTAAGCTGGCCTAACCTGTCCTACCCTCTCACTCCACAGATGGATGCTTAATGAGCTCTGAAGGCTCATATACCTCTGTCTCCTGGCTGGGGGATAGCCCCATAGAAATCTTTGGAGGTGTACTGCACAGGCATGGCCATAATGTAAATAAACTACAGAAGCCAGGCCCATCAGAACTCGGTAAGTATGCATCTCTGGAGGAGGGGAGGGGGGGGGGGGACACCTTGACTGCCTTTAGGCGATCCCTAAAGACTCATCTCTTCAGGGAAACCTATCCCACCTCAACCTAACCGCTCGACTATCACGTTCTCAAACAATTCATCCCCACGCAGCTCCCTCCTCATGTATCACTTCCCCCTCCCTTTTAGATTGTAAGCCCTCAGGGGCAGGGCCCTCCTTACCATCTTGTCTTGAATTGTATTGTGATTGTAATGTCTGCACTATATTGTAAAGCGCTGTGCATACTGTTGGCGCTATATAAATCCTGTATAATAATAATAATAATAATAGTGTATTTCCACTTTTGCCATCAAATTTGGGAAGACCTATGTTTATGTGCTCCCATTCATAGAGCATCACGGGAAAAATAAATATATGAAATACCTTTTAGATGTATTTTTGCAGCAAGCAACATGACTGAATCCAGATTTTTCTGAGCTCCTTCACAGTGATCTATCCTTCTAGAAAGACTTAACTAAAATTTGTGGATTGCGTTTCCCTCATTAAACTTAAAGTGACATTAAAGTCACAAATCCACCCCCCGCTCATGATGCTTCAAGGACTTCCCTTAAATGATGCCTCTTGATCTGATCATCTTCTTCCTTCCACTTGTATTCAGCAATCCCTCCAGCGCTGGTACCGGTCTCTGATTCAGCGCAGACTCCTCATATCCCACGGTGTCTGCCCAACGTGCAGGTTCATGGCTGAGTGCATTCACCTCCACTCCCGGCCGATGATCACTACTGCACATGTGCCGCTCCTATCCTGCTGCTTGGCTGCTTAGGAAGCTTCAGATCTACAGCCAGGAGTGAGCGATGGAGACACAGGTACGTTTTTACCTTTTTTTTAAAAATGTTTTTGCATATATCTTCTGCTTGCTAGCAGTAGATATATGCAAAAAAGGAGACACATTCTACTCTCAGTAACATACACTGCAAACCCCTCACAACCCCAACATTACAAAGAAGGAGAAACCAGATAGAAACTTTAATTCTTAAAGTGACACTAAACTCGTTAGTTAAGGTACTTGAATGTATTTTTAAGATTTAACTCCTAACAAAAATGTACCTTTTGTGTGCATCACTCAGCTGTAGATCCTCAAATCATCTCTGAATTGGTGCTGACACTACTGTGTCAAAGTAGCCACCGCTCCAAGCTCACTCCTGTGATGGACTACAAACTCAATACAAAATAGTAAACTAAACAGAGATTGTAGTCCATCCCGGGGGCGAGCTTGGAGCGCTGGCTACTTTACAACACACACAGGGATCATGGGGAGTAAAAGTAGCCATCCTCCAGAAGGAAGGACAGTGTCAACACCAATTCAGAGATGATTTGAGGATCTACAGCCGAGTTATGCACAAATAAGATACATTCAAGTACCTTAACTATTTACAAAAATGTATTTTTAAGATTTAACTCCTGAGTTTAGTGTCACTTTAAGAAGCCAAGAAACCTTAACCCAAGTAAAAGCAATTTAAACTGCAAGAAGCATTGTAAATGGGAACATGTAACATATATAAAATAGGTGTTATCCCAATTTGGCTGCAAAAGTGGAAATAAACTTTAAAAGGGGCCAAAAGGATAGGTACACTTGGTGTTAAAGATCTCATACGGATTATTTGCCCACTGGATGAAAAATCCAACATTGGCTTTTCTAATACCTGTAAAAACAGCTTTTAAATGAGAGACTGACAATCATCCTCAGTAAACATTTGCAATGCATTTGTCAAAACCTTTCAGCTGCTTTCTTGCTGGCCTTACAGCACCTTCAGCTCCACTATGGGAGTACAGAACAGCGATCCTAATGGGAATGCTGGCTGTAGCATTAAACAAGCTTTTGGCAGGAAATGTGCAAACTTCAGCAACAGCGATGAGCTAAATGGTTAGAAATTCCGGATGAAAAATCAGTAAATTATTATTTTTTTAGCCTCCTGAATATATACCCGACGATTTTTCTAATCAGCAGAGAATCATACATCATAAATCACCACTGCCTGGATTTCTAAACTGTGCCCATCTTCAACTATCTACACCTAAATACTTAGGAGAATCCAATTTGATCTGCAAGTTTCCAGTTTAAGTCTACTCTAGTCCATATTGCTGAAGTCTGCTTACAGATGAGAAGTGCAAACACTGGCCTCTGAGCCTACTGCAGCTTCCCCCGCAGACATCAATGTGTGACTACAAACTGCATTATCATGTTACAAGAGGCTGCAGAAGCAGTGCATGAGTTACCCATGCAAGGGGCATGTACAGTTATGAAAAGGAGCGTTTTAAAAAGCAGATCCAGGCAACAACGCAACTGGGCCAAAATCAGAATGTGCAATGACCTGGTGGCTTTGCTGCTTTCCCTTATCGTTAAACCCGCTCGGCCATTTGTCAGATTTCAATGCTGTGAAAGTTTGACGGAGAATTACTCTGTCATGCAACATTGTACCTAAACTCATTTTATACCATATTTTGAGGCATATAGAGTTTTCTTTCAGTGGTATTTAATAACCACATTTTTTTTAAAGAAGGGGTTGCACCAAGAAGTAATGAATGATGACTTATCCATTAATTGCTTCCTTTACTCTCCCCTACCTGATAGAAGAGGAAGGGTGGGGGCTTGGCAATGTAAACATTGCCATGTGATTGCTGTGATAACCAATCACAAAAATCACAGGGCACGGAGCTGGTCCAATTGGTTCTGTGTCTGAAGCTGCTGCTTCCCACAGCAGGAGCACTGGCTTCTGCAGCCTCCTGCACACAGGCAACCATGGGAGAACGTGCAGTTATGACCTCCTGGAACAATGAGGCTGTTGACTGGCTGTAAATGTAAAGTGGCTAAAAATGCTGCAAGTACCTGTTGATAATGTAACAAATCAAGTTAGCTCCTACCATGCAGTAGTGAGCCAGCAATGCTACCTCTGTTGCAGTGAAATCTTAAGCAGTGTTGTCTTCCTTACTGGATAATAGAACACCCCTCCCTTTCTCCTTTGTTGTTGTCGTAGAGTTTTTAGCTGGAAGTTCAGAGCTCACTAGATTTTTTGCAGGATCAACTGGTATTTTTTCATACTTGGAAACATGGGGAAGCGTACACATATTACAAAGATTTACTGATGTTCACATCTCACATTGCACATTAAACCCATAGAAACTGGCAAAGTAGTTTCTACAACCAAAAGTATGCTTGCACATTATGGCACACTTACCTGAAATGTGTTCTCTCCTCCAGCGCTGACTGATCTGCTCTCTCAGCGCCATTCCGTCCATCGCCGCTGCCATATCTTCCCTCTGCTTCTTCCAGGTCCCTGTCGTCCTGTCCAACCACTAGACTGCCTGCGATGCAGTAACTAATCCTTGGTATCCTGCAGATGCTGGGAAGGACCCGGGATAGTACACAGCATGGCACATGCGCCATACAGTGTACACAAAATATAACCACTGCAAGAAGTTAGAAACAGCTGTTTTCTTGGGCGGAAGTGACTTCAAGTGTCTAATCTTTAAAAAAAAAAAAAAATCTAATTTCTAGCAGTTTTTTTTTTTTTAGGATTACTTTGGCTTTAAGCGAGATGTGATCTATAAATACAAGGACTATAAAATCAAAGAGTCTGACAATCCTGTAGCGCATCACTTCTCTGATCCAAAACAAGAAAGAAAAAAAAAAAAAAAAGGAAGAAAGAAGGATTTCTCTGAACAATAAATGCACTTTTTTTCCAGGAACTTCCACCCACTAAGCTTGGTACTTAAGACTTACCGTTGCTGCTGCAATCCCAGTGGTTTGGGCTGCTACTGTGGAGCTTTTCTTGGCATTTTTGTAGCCCTCAGTACCACACGATGCACGCACTAGAGGCTTGTTGTCAAAGCTTGTGACTTGAATATGTGTGCTGCAACATAAAAGTACACATTACATGTAAGTACATCCATTTGATATGCAGATTGGAACCATTAGAGCTGCAGAAGGGCATTACCCCCAAAAAGCAATGATGCTGGAGGTATCCATAACATCACTAGGTAAAGTAATGGCATGAACCACGGTGCTAGTGCTAAATAATTGGAAATACAGATGTTTTAGAAGTTTGCTTAAACATTTACAATAAAGCACAATATTTTTTCTGATTCTTGTATCTATCCAGTAGTGTCTGCCTCCCTTTAAAGTTTACAGTCATGTGAAAAAGAAAGTACACCCTCTTGGAATGTTATGGTTTTGCATATCAGGACCTAATAAAAAATCAGCTGGTCCTTACCAGGTCGTAAAATTAGGTAAATACATGCTCAGATGAACAACACATGACATATTACACTGTGTCATTATTTATTTTACAAACAAAGCCAAAATGGAGAAGCCATGTGTGGAAAAATTAAGTACACCTTATGATTCAATAGCTTGTAGAACCACCTTTAGCAGGAATAACTTGAAGTAATCGTTTTCTGTATAACTATCAGTCTCTCGCATCGTTGTGGAGGAATTCTGTCCCATTTTTCTTTACAACTTTGCTTCAGTTCATTGAGGTTTGCTGGTATTTGTTTATGCACAGCTCTCTTAAGGTCCTGCAATAGCATTTCAATCGGGTTGAGGTCCTGACTTTGACTGGACCATTGCCACACCTTGATGCTTTTCTTTTCCAGCCATTCTGTTGTAGATTTGCTGGTGTGCTTGTGATCACTGTCCAGTTGCATGGCCAAATTTCTGAAAAGGTTTACCTGTCGGACAGATGGCCTCATATTTGACTCTAGAACACTTTGTTATACAGAGGAGTTCATGGTCGACTCAATAACTGCCAGGTGCCCAGGTTCTGAGACTGCAAAACAAGCCCAAATCATGACCCCTCCACCACAGTGCTTAAACGTTGGTATGAGGTGTTTGTGCGGATATGTTGTGTTTGGTTTTTACCAAATGTGGCGCTGTGCATTATGGTCAAACATTTCCACTTTGGTCTGGTCTGTTCAAAGGACATTGTTGCAGAAGTCTTGTGGTTTGTTCAGATGCAACTTTGCAAACCTAAGCTGTGCTGCCATGTTCTTTTTAGAGAGAAGAGGCTTTCTCTTGGCAACCCTTCCAAACAAAATCATACCTGTTCAGTCTTTCTAATTGTACGGTCATGAACTTTAACATTTAACACGGTAACTGAGGCCAGTGGAGTCTGAGATGTAACTCTGAGGTGTTTTGCAATATCCCTGAACATTGCACGGGCTGGTCTGGAGACATCCACTCCAGGGAACAGTGGCAACTGTCCTGAATGTTTTCCACTTGAATCTTCCTCACTGTAGAATGATGGACTTTTCTTTCGTTTGGAAATGGCTTTATAATGCGGCAAGAACAATTGCTTCTCTAAGGCTGGCCATACACCTATCAATTTTTTTTGTTAAACCCATGGGCTGAACAAAAAAATAAATTAACGCTATTCCGCCATCAACACAAACCACGTGTCGATTGAGGAATCCCACTGTTTGCACTGTATTCTGACAGGTGCCGCCGGCACCTGTCAGAATACCCAATCAGAACGGGCAGCATTTTGGCTGCCAGCTCTGACCGTACAAAGATTTTCCAGCAAGCTCCTTCGATCAGCTGATTGAGGAATGCCAGCTGAAAGGGAGCCGACAGCCGCACACACTGTGGGAATTTCGTCTGGTATATTAAAAACCAGCCGAAATTCAGCCAGTGTTTGGGCACCTTAAGGTCACTTCTAATGTCTTTCCTCCATGGCATTGTGTAAACACACACCTGAATGCTCCAGACCAGCAAACTGCTAAAACTTCAGCTTTTATAGAGGTGGTCACACTTGCCGATTATCAATTATTCAAGGGCATTTGATTTGCAGCACCTGGCTACCATTTACCTCTTAATTCCTATGGAAGCAGTAAGGGTGTACTTAGTTTTTCACACAACTTCTCCTTTTTGGCTATATGTTTGTAAAATAGATAATGACATGGTATAATTTGTCATCTGTTGTTCATCTGAGGTTGTAGTTACCTAATTTTAAAACCTGCTAAGGAACAGATGATTTTTATTATGTTCCGATATGTAAAAACATGACATTTCAAAGAGGGTGTACTTTCTTTTTTTACCCGACTGTATACTAATCCTCCACCATATCAAAAGCAACATTTGCTGTAAGAACTGTGCAGGGAGCTATTCTGAACTTCCATGAAGAAAAACAGGACTGGGACCCAATATTTTCCTTTGTAGAATCTCATTGTTTTGTTATGCATTTCAATTAAACACTTAGGTATTCCATCAACAGCTCACGCTGTGCAGAACGCAGGGAGGCAGACCGTTCCCCATTCCTCTCCAGCATGGCAGGTGGCATTACATAGCAGGACATGGCAAGACAAATGTATTACAGCTGCTCACAATTCAAACAATATTGATTGCTATTCATTAGGTACCTTTCACTTAACTGGTGCATGGTGTGCGGGCCCAGAAGGACGAACACCAGCGCTCAGCTTGAGCCTGATGACTGAGATGGCATCCATGTGTTTGCTGAACACTGCCATCTCCCATCATTAAGACAATGTGAGACTTAAATCCACCATATCATATACAGTGACATGATGTGGGTTCCTAACATAGAAGACAGTTTTAAGGAAAAACCAATCCAGTCTTTCTAAATGCAGAAAACTTGACAATCATCAAAAGGTCATCATGTACAGCACACTAAAATGCTAAAAGCAACATAAGGTACTTCTAATGTAATGATGATTAGCTATTGCTCAGGTTATAGAACACCAGAATTGCATAATCAGAGAGCCTACAGTCCCTCTAACTGCTAGGTACAGGCTTCCAGCTCATGGACAAAACCTACTGTTCCCAGGGCCATTAGCCCAGCCAGGGACATTATAAAGTGCGTGTCATTGAAGCAGAATATACCGACTGCTCCGATTAAACATCAGCAACAATAAAAGGCACCATCACATGAATGCACTGAATACTTCTAGCACACCAGCATCTACATGACGATGTAACACATCAGTAATGGCTGTAGCATCTCGGATTATGCAGTGCTGGTGTTATTGTAGTCACATATAAAATGTTTTTTATTTAATTTTTATCCCAAATAAACATCCTGCCAGACTGGGGAGAGCAGTTGGATTGGTCCAGGGTTCTTCAGTTAGGGTAATGGCAGAGAGGCATCATCTAGGAAAAGCTGGGGTGTGACAGGTACTCCTAGAACTGTATGGTTGGAGTATGAAGGTTACACCAAGAACCATGTAACCAGGGTATGACAGGTAGTCTTAGAACTGTACAGTAGGGCTACTTCCACCAGTGCACGAGGAAAGCCAAACACCAAAAATCACCAGATAACAGGCTTGAAAGTTTGCTGTCCAGGGTGACCATAAACACTGATTTTTGGAGAATCTTCAGCACGGAATAAATACTCTCCATTCTGAACTTCTTGAAGATCAAAAATGTAGGATCATCCTGAACTTCCCTCCTTGTTTGGGCAGAAAAACATGAGGATAGAATCCCTGATAAAGCCGATTCTCAGGAATGGGAACAACCACTTTGAGAGGCAAGAGACTGGATACAATTCTCCAGCAACGCTGCTTTTCTCTGATCCTCCAGCCTTGTTAGGAAGAAAAAAAACTGCTAATTCTAGCCAATAGCCTTCTCTTAACAAGTTGAGAATATACTGACTGAATTATTTTCCCGCTGATCATAAATTAAATGTCTCCTCCCCCCACCTCTCCTCTGGCGTCATTTGGTATCTTTCTCAGAGAAGTCAGGAGTAGTAAAGAGCAAACATCCTTAAAGATTCTCTGTGTTTAAAGCCAATCTAGCAGAGGCTCTAAAAGATTACAGACAAGGTATCCAAGGCTTGCACAGTCGGAGGTACCTTAAAAGTCTGTATACACTGTATATTTAAAAAAAAAAATGACTCTAGGACCCCAGAAGCCAACTGATGAAACTGTCTCAGTAAACTAAAGTCAGAACCAACATATCATACTTGTTCTGGGTTAGTGCTTCAAACTATTCAAAGAATCGCTACAATTTGCAGAAGACGTCAGCAATGGGACCCTCCAAGTTTCTTTTTCCTAAAAACAAAAAGCTTTTCTGAGCCAATACACGTGTGCACTCAACATTTCTCTACTGTTTTCTGTTGCAGATTCACCTAAAAAGTTGTGCTGATAATACAGGGGATTCAATAACAAATTGACATTCCCAAACTGAAAGCTTGACTTCATGAGGTTCAAAACTCAATGTTCTGTAATACACTGGAATCATTAGTGAATTCATCAAGTGTCTTACAAAGTACACGAATAGCTGGTTCATTTGTTAAGCCTCCACAGTTAGACTAATCAGTCATTCGGTAGCCCAGTAAGCCTAGCGTGTTTCTCCATTGATAGCAATATGTATTAAGAGTAACAGAAACAAGCAGAAGGGAACTTGTTCTGAGAGTTTTGTTTAAAATATTGAGTATCAAACGTTGTTGCTTAAATACATTCCCAAATAAAGATGTTGCCATGAAAGGATCATGTTAATACTCAGCTTTACCACAGTCTGCACCACTGAACATAGATCTGTAGCATACCCCAAACTCTGCAGAAACCAATACTTCTGGGAGATCTCCTGTGTCCCCTGCAAGGTTCAGTGGTTCCTGCTGTTGACTTACACATTGATACAGTTTACAGTAGTGATGTGGAGATATGGCAGGAGAAACAACTATGTGCTGCAGGGAACACAGGAAAATAGAAACTACCTGAACACTAGCATAGCATTAAGTCTGGGATGTGTTTGACATATGTGAATGACATATGCAGAGTTTCAAACAACATACAGTTGGCAAATCCAGGCTCTTTATACCAGAACAAACAGGTCGGCAACTTTATTTTGAAAGTGTAGCTATAGCTATTTTCTTAGTTTTGAATAGAAAAAGGGAAAGGTTAGAACTCCTGTCAAGTTTTACTGGGGTTCCGTTAGAGAGATTTTCACTCACTTTCTGTTCTGGTGACAACACTTTTTTAGACAGGAAGTGAGAAAAATCTGCAAAAGAAAAAACATCTTCTGCTGAATGTAACAAAATAGAAAAAAACATTATTTTGCCTGCGCTGCCATTAGAGATTGCCCCTCATTTCCTGTCCTAGGGACAACCTGTTTAACCGGAGAGGAAATGAGGTAACCTCTCCAATGGAACCTCCAATGGCAGTAACACCTGATAGAGTAATGGAGGATAATGGAGGATTAGAACCCCTATCCAAAACTAAACTATAGTTACACTTCTGAATAATTTTTCTGAAACACTCAATGTTTACCATTTCTGAAAGTACCTAATGTGGATTGTGAACTTCTGATCATGTCCAACTTCACATATCACTTTTTAACCTCACCTACGCGATTGGTAAGGAAGTCTGAAGCGAGGACAGGCTCACATCACTTCACACATGCCCTACGGTGCCCAAATTACAACTACAGATTAGTAGGTGACACAGATTACTAGACCCACCAGCCGGTAACAGATACATCACTAATCTTTCAAATGTAATAAAGGTAAACATTCTAATGTGATGGTCAATATAGACTTACTACTACTGATAGAACTGTTCTCACTTACTTGTTATATGTGGCTTTTATATGGACAATTGGCAATTCTTCAAACTTTATACCACCCCATCGCAAAGGGCTGGACTCCCCAGGCACAGGTGGAACCAGGCTGTAAACATACAAAAAATAATTAAAATATCACAAAGAAGGCTGTTTAAACTTTACAACTTGTATACAGATTATATTAAGCTTCTTAGCCAAAGTTTGCTTTAAGAGTACAATCATACGGATGGTTCTGAATCTCTTGAACTGCCAGAGAAATGGCCACTCGTGGGGACTGTCAATACATTGTAGTACCAGACAGGGCTGTCCATCTCTTGAACTACAACTGTGACTGGACAGTGGCAGGAGAAGCAGCACAGTGATGAGCTCATCTCTCTCTCACTCTGTTCTCTCTTCTTATCAGCATGCTTCTTGTCAGCACATGAACTGAGTGACTCCTTGCACTGATTCCATCTCTCACTCTCTACAAGGATGAAGAGAGGCCACTGCAGGAGACTGATACCAGGTCAAATTCAAGTATTTTCATTGCTTGCATGAGTCCCCAACCGCAGGCGCTGCCATTGTAATCCTTACTGGTTTGAACGGTTTCTAAGGTCTTCTGGCTGAAATATCTATCATATAGAGGCACCAGGCCAAGTCTAGATATACTGCTGGGAGAAGAAGGACTAGGGATTCCAAAAAATCTGGGTTATGATCGCACTTTCACAGGAGAGGTTTTTGTAGCCTTCTGTAATGTAACTGTGCCCAGGTGACCACTTGAATAGAGGCAGTCATTGGTCTGAGACACCTCCTGACCTGTCCGAGAGACACTAAAAGATGTGCCCTCATTGTCTGAACAGTGGACATGATCCTGGACAATGAAAGGGCTGGGGGATATTTTGACCCACTGTTGGCTGAACTGAGACAGTTTCAAGAGTCAGCGCCATTTATATTCTTTGGAAGCAGGCTTAAGAGGAGTCCACTCTTAGGCTTGTTCTATTAAAGGCTTACTTTCTTTGCATCCTAGCATTCAGGGGTTTGTTGAGATTGGCCCTGGGGGCCTCTGAAAAAATTAGCTTAGAGATTAAAATAATGGTTAAAAAGTAGATACATCTCCTCCACCTCTTCCAAAGAATAAAGATCTGGTGGGTCCATGGGCATTCTGGTTAGGGTCCACCGTCTCTCCCTCCTCTGCTGAACTATCACCAGTGGATTCCTCCTGCTCTTCTGCCCAAGGTGAACTGGTAAAGCAACTGCTGGGGGCCAAAGGGCTCTATTTGGAAGCAGATTCAGTTCTCATTTAATCTATAAACTCCCTTATTATCAAAGAGGATTCAGCAGCCACCAGCTTTTTTAATGTACAGTATACTTTACAGAATGGTTTAGGGTAGGTGGAGAATAACATGGTTTTATGTAGGATGAGAATGACCTGCTACAATAGACACATCTTTACTTAGGGTGATTGGATTCTGGTGCCGCTGAAGCGCATTTGTTTTCTACATGTGTACTAGTAAGAAGAATCAGGACAGGTTGGTATGAGCACAGGAGAAACAAATATGGGGAAAGAAGAAAGAGGGACACCCTGTCCTACCCTAAAGGACACTCTAGTGCTACCAAAATCCCAACACAGCAAAAGAAATGTACACAGGCTAATCCCAGCAGCAGTTCTGAAGACAGGAACAGAAGCTTTCTGTGTACCAGGCACAGTTATCTGCTGTGAATGATCACCTGCCTTGCAGCCCAGATCCATAGTGAGG